GTTTGGCTATATTATCGATTGAAAAAGAATTATTAGAAGAGATTGACTACACAAAAATTATTAACAACTTTGCATCTAAAAAAATAGAAAAATAGATTTAAAATAAAAATATTTATAATTTTTTTAAGGCCTCTAGTTTGAGTTTGGCCTTAGGCCACCAACGGGTTTGAGCCGCCCTTGAGTAAAGATGTTGTGTTTTGAAAGATCCTTGGCGCAAGTGCATCAAACATAATTAGTTAAAGAATTAAGGAAAAAACAATAAAGAAAGCATAACAATAATAAAAAAAAGCAGTGTAAGATCTACAAGAAAGAACAATAACCCTAATATGCGACCTCTCCACTCTTTCCTATATAGAGTCGTGTCCTCGTTATATGAAGTTGTGTCATGTCTTGTCTAATCACCTCTCTCCAATACTTTTTCGTCCTACCTCTACCCTTTCATATATTCCCAACACCTAGCCTCTCGCAACTCCTTGTTGGGGTGTTCGCGCACCAACTCTTTACATGCCCAAACCATATCAATCTCACTTCCCTCATCTTATCTACCACACAAAGGCTACCCCAACCTTCTCTCGGATAACCTCATCTCTAATTTTGTCACTCTTAGTATGCCTACACACCCATCTCAACATTCTCATCTCCGCAACATGTTTCTTCTGATCTTCTGAACATATGAGTTCCCAACTGACCAACACTCCCACGTCATATAACAAGGACGATCTAACCATTATTATTTATTTTAAAATAGATTAATTTATGCTCTCTTTTTTTCAAAAAAAAAATGTGTGAGAAACGAGGAGGGTTAAAGATGTAAAATCACTAGACAAAAGAGGCTATAAAAGGAGACAAATGAGAAGATTAATACCACACAAACAAAAACTAGTGAGGCTGAGAGAGAGAGATAATTCATCTATTTCTCACACCTGCACACACCACACACACCAAACAAAAAAAATAATTAATCACATTTTTAAAAATTCTCAAGTTTTCTTTAATTTTCATTTTATTTCCCCCCCTTCTGTTTAATCCCCCTCTTCTTTAATCCCTTTCTGTTAACTATCTGCCTTTCAAGAACAATTCTTGGATTTTGGGTTTGTATTTTTTGATTGAAAAAAAAAATTATTTTTTTTGAAGAAAATGCAAACTTTTAGACATTAATTTCTTAAAAAGTCAGGTGTTTTCAGAATTGAGATTTATTTATCATTAAATGTTGTAGAATTTATTCATTCTTTCTATCTTTCTTCAACTTAGAGGGCTTATTAGTTGTCCCTCAAAAAGTTGATTTTTTTCTTAATCACTACACAAAAAGGGGTTGTTATTTGAAGACCACTTTTTTTGTAATTAATCACCTGTTCTTTTTATTTGATAAGAAACAGGTTGATTTATTTTTAATTTTTTTAATTAATTAATTAAAAATTGTGTGTTTTACATCTAACTATGGCAACTTCTACAAAGGATTTTTGGACTACTACTCTTTTAGATCTTAACTCATCAAATTCTGGTGGTGAGCTTATGGAAGCACTTGCACCTTTTATTAAAAGTGCTTCTTCTCCTTCTCCTTCTCCTTCTGTTTCTCCATACTTTGATTTACAATCTTCTTCTCTATCAACTTCATATCTTTACGAATCATTTTCTTCAACGAGTCAACCTAATATGAGCTACTATGATAATGGTTGCTCCACTTCCAGCACGATAACCCCTACTTTTTCACAGGGGTTTTCGGGCATTATGGAAGCGGAGCAACCAGGCTCAATTTGGCTGAACCAAGCCCAAATCTATCTGCCACAGCAAATTATGCCAGCTGTCACTTTCCAGAATAATAATCAGTATGTTTCTTACTTGGGGCCAAAGCCGGTTTCCATGAAGCAATCGGGCTCGCCCCCAAAACCCCCAAAGCTATACCGCGGTGTTAGACAACGTCATTGGGGGAAATGGGTGGCAGAGATCCGATTGCCTAAGAACAGGACCCGGCTTTGGCTTGGTACATTTGATACTGCTGAGGAGGCCGCCTTGGCATATGACAAGGCGGCCTATAAGCTCAGAGGCGAGTTTGCTCGTCTAAATTTTCCCCATCTCCGTCATAACGGATCATTAATTGGGAGTGAATTCGGTGAGTATAAGCCGCTTCACTCCTCAGTTGATGCTAAGTTACAAGCCATTTGTCAAGACTTGGCACAAGGAAAGAGCATTGATACTAAAAAGAAGCGAAAAGTGTCTTCTAAAGCGATGGTGGTGGTGGTGGAGGAGAAAGAAGATAACAAACGCAAGACAACGGCGGAAGCCGGGTCAGAAAGTGATGGATCCGGGTCAGGGTCAGGATCAGGGTCAGGGTCGGGTTCCGGGTCATCGCCAATTTTGGAATATACGTTCGATTCAATTTGGGACATGTGTTCAGAGAATTACGTGTTGCACAAGGATCCATCTCAAGAGATTTTTAATTGGGCTTCACTACTATAGTTAAATTTAGTAATTATGATTATGTTATCTTTTGTAATATTTTGTTTATAGAAGTTTAATTGTGTAATTAGGTGGATAAGATTAGTGGGATAGCCATTGCAATGAATTTTTGGTAATTGCATAGCTAGTCCTTAGATTTATTGTGAAGATCCAAACTGGGCAGCTGATGTTTTTTGTCAAGGCTAGGCCAGTGGATTTTTTTTTTTGTTCATGTTGTATTTTTGTTTTGTATCTATATTTCTTTAGTTCTAAGTTGTAACTCATATTTTTTATTCTATTTTTTAACAAGTAAAATTTACAAAATAAATATTTGTGTCAGAGTAGTTCTTACAAGAAAAAACAGAAAAGGATATGAAAATTACAATTTGTAAAATATGTATATTCCCGGTGCAACATTCAGGCTGCTTCGCCTAGTAGAACTATGTTTATATTACTCTCTCACAACCTTACTGTCACATTTTAGATCGCTCATATTTTGCTCATCGCTATTTTAAGATATTTTATTAAAAATATATTGATTAAACATAATGAATTGAAGTATGTAAAGGTAAAATAAATTTAACTATTTAAAAATTATTATTATCAATCTAATTATGAGGTTGATTAGTTTGATTTTTAAAAAATAATATCGACCTCAGGATGTCACTATCATTGAATAAAATTTTGTCAGGTGTATTAGCCGACCTTCTGAGATCGGTTTTAAGTTTTATTGGATATTTGTGTTAAGAAAACCAACCTCTGGAAATCAGTTTGTTGAAAAAAAAATTATACTTAAATACCGACCTTGTGAGGTTTTTTTTTTCAAACCACTTTTAGGGTCGATTTTAGTAGTGAAAGTTACACTAATTTTCCTAGCCTAACTCACTATTTTTCACAAAACAATCATTCATATGAAGTGACTCTAAGATATAATAATCATAGGGATAAAATGTAGGATTATTTTATTCTGTGTTTAGTTGAAGGTATTAGGGAGTCTTAAGATTATTTATCCCACTATTTATATTTTAGTGATGAAATAAATTATCACATATACGTGGTAAAATAACTTATCTCAGAATAATTAATCTCGAGATAACTTATTCCTCGTCGAACGATCATCTAAAAGTCATCATTAGTTTCATAATTTCCACTCAAAGATTCCAAATTTAGACTTTAGAGTTTAGACAATGGATAAAACACCAAAGAGACAGAAAAAGGTGGCACCAAATTAGTGGTAGAATGATTCAAAATCTCTCTTTTCTTAATTTGTTCATATTCTATTTTGTTTATGGTGTGTTTGTTGATATCCAATCAAAGGCCGCATAATGTGTGAACAGGAGAGGGAAAAGGTAGCCACTATTTTTAGAAAGGGCTTAGCTTGCATTCAAGTTCAAGAAAAGGATATATGCCCAAGTGGGATGATGTCTATCTCTAGAAATATCAAGTGAAAAGGATATACATCCATTCTTTGATTTTATTGGTTCAATCCTCCCACCTCACCCCACCCCACACCCCCACCCCTTCCATTATCGCGCTCAACATATGAGATAAGGTGGGGTATTTCATAATTAAGTTTATATTATACTTGATTGATGAATTGATAGTATAAACTTATTATTCTTGATATTATTTTATCCACAAATTAGACATTAGTTTAGAAATTATAATTTCATTTCAAGACTATAATCTTAAAATAATATAGTGTGCAAATCAAAAAGGTCCTTTTAAGTATTCATTATTTAAAATTTATTGACCCGACTAATTAGGTTTGAGGTGTAGAAGACTAGAAGTACTTATAGAAGAGGACTTCATTTCTAGACTAGTATTTATGTGATACTATTTTTATTAATTCATATAAAAAAAATGACTTATTATCATTAATTTGAAAGTAATGTATGACTAAGTCAATTCATCTCGTTCTTCTTATGTGGAAATATTGATTTTCACACTTAGCTAATTGAAAGTAACCATTAGGTTTACGACAAACCTAGAAATTGAATATTGATATAATTTAAGTACCTCATCAGTTGTCTACGTAGAATGTAAGAGAAATGCAATCGTGAAACAATATTTAAGAAAATATGTTGCATTTTGGCAGCAATTATACTTATTACAAATAACTTCTTGTTACTATATCAAAAGAGATAAATGTTGATTGATCTGATAAATTACACTTAACTTATTGAATAATTAAAAAAATGAGATTCTTCAGAAATACACATCAAATATTAAAATCGTAAGAAAGACTAAGATTTTAGAATGGACTTCTCATCAGCTAGCTATACAAAGGTAGGGTAAAAGAAAAACCAAAACTTACAATAAAGTTGTACAAGCTAATACAAAAAGGCCAAGGAAAAAAAAAGGAAAGTAAATTCTGTGTTATTGGATAAAACAAGAAATTCTCTCCGGACTGTCTAAAAAAGCACTAAGCTTCTGCTATGCACAGGATTCGAGAAGGCGGGAAAGGACCAAATCACGTACACTATTGTACGCATATCTTGTCTTGCATTTATGAAAGATGCAGTTTCCACAGCTCAAACTCGTGACCTCCTGATAAAGCTAAGCTATAACTTGCTAAGACATTTCTGATTGATTACATGACTATTTTTGGTCAATATATTCACAATTAAACTACAAGAAACCCTAATATTTTTATTCATTGAACTTATTCCCCAAACTTTAAATTCTATAGGCACATCCATAGATAGAGATAAATATAAACGTTGATTCTTCGAATTTGTGCTATTCATACTCCTTTCTACCTCCTCAGGCAATTTATCTTTGTCTCCATTACCAAGAATAACCTCGAAATCTATCAAGCTCTTAGGATCTTGCTCTAATTCTGGAAAATCCCCGCGAGCAATATTCTTCTGCTTGAAATACAAAGAAATACCTCCGTCCCCTTTATAATTATACGAAATTCTTGACATTTGATTCGTGTTCTTGGCTTCAATTGTAACGTCATATTGATAATGAGTACGTTTATCGTGATGATTTTTGTTTAATTTCTTGACTATGACTTGTTTCACGTTAAATTGTGGATCATTATGCTTGGTAAGTAATTTGGTAAGACCTATTACCAAACCAATAATAATTCCAACAACTACTAACGTTATAACTATACATATATAACGTCGAGAACAACAACAAGAACGAGAACTCCCTCCTTGTTGGTTGATCTTATTTCGATGATTCTCGATGATTATAGCATTTTCTGGTGGGGGGACACGATAGATTTGGTCTTTTGGAACTTGAACAACGTAAGTTCCTGAGGAAAAATGTGGTGATTGAGTATTAGAAACGTCGTGATCATACGTTGTTTTGTTTCGGGGGAATTCATCGTCACCATGTTGAGCTTGGGACCGCTCTTCCATGGAAATATGGAGAGCGGTGAAAGAAGGATGTTTAGGGTTGTAAGTTTAAAGATGGAACCAAAATGTGATGGCTAAGTTTGCATGGGAATAGGTGGTTGCATTTGCATGGGGAAAAATGGGATGTTTAGCTATGAGAGTGGATAACTTAACATGTGTCTTCTAATTAGTTTATAACTTATTGTAAATGTTGGTTGTTGTCCCATTAATAATTTAGCGCAAATTACAGAAATACACACCTTTAGTTTCACTTATTTCCTATTACTTTTAAAAATCTCCAAAATTCCTTATTTCTTTAATATATCTGAGTTGCATATTAATGTATCCGAGCCAGTATTTAATGTATCCGAGCCAATATTTAATGTATCCGAGCTACATATTAATGTATCAGAGTTTCAATTATTGTATCCGGTTCTTTAATTTTTAAGGGATTAATGTAATTAAAAACTTATTAGGAATAAATTGTAATTTCATATTAAAACATATTATTACAATACATAAGTTCAAAATTAAATGTGAGAGATAACTAATAAAGTGTTTTATAATGTATAGTTGTTCAATGTCACATGGTACATGTTTTTTGGCTCGATGATTGTGTAGTCCAATGGACAAATATTGGGCTAAAGCTGATGATGCATGTTATGGGCTTGAATTGATCTTTTAACTTGGCAAGCTTTAAAAAAAGTGATACAAATATCTCACATCGGATTAAGAAAGGCAATTGAAGAGCTTTATATTTAAAGCATATCACAAAAGTCCACATTTTACATGCGCTTATAGGCTCGATGATGACATAAAGGGATAAATTTGTGAAATCCATTCAGTAAAAATGAAAAATATGTACGTATATATATACCATGTACTTGAACTGTGACATTTTCCCAACATAATAAAAAGAACCTGGAAGTTGAACAATTGAGCTCATTAATCACTTAACGCCCTAATAATTATGATTAAGTTGGTAGCTAATTTTGTATGTTAGTGTCCCAAATTAGTTGTGTTAATAATTTCACATGATTGATGGGATTGAGTTAGGCTTTTATATTATACATTTTAATTAACATTAGTGCTCTCTTATTTTCCTCCCTTTGAATTTTTAAATGATACAAATATATAATATTACGTGAATTTTATTTAGGGCCAAATAATAGAAAGTTCTAATCCATAATAAAAATTATATAGAAAGCATTTTGGTATTACAAGGCATTAAACCTCAAAGAAGAAAGTGTAGTATGTTATCAGTGCCCATAGCGGATTAAACAAGAGTTTCTTTAATTTGGTCGAAAGTCGTAAAAAAGGCACCGGATAAACAGCTAACATAAACTACTATCGTACAACGCATCTTTGGTCTTGAATTAAACCTCTGCTCTCCTAATTCAGTCTATAGATTTTGGTGTAGGTTCAATCTTAGTTGTTTAGCTTAGGTCCATCAATCAATCTCCTTTTTTGGCTCTCTCTTTATCCCCATGTCTCTTATCCCTAGGAGGTCTTCCTCGTCTAGCAGATTCATACTTCAAATGTTTTCTCAGTCGAGTTCATCGCATTAAATTTATCTTGTAAAGTTTATATTTTCTATGTGATTTGCAAGTTATTGCACACGAGCAAAATTTATTTAGTGCGCATTTCAAGAGTAGCAATCACAAGTTTTCCCCGAAATTCCAATAGAAACTTTCTATTATACCTACTAAACATAGAAAAATAATCGTTAATCTTATTTAACAACCAATTATTAATTATTTTTGTTAAAACAACAAATTATTAATTATTTTTGTAACTAAATCTTTTTCATTTTTAGTGTATAGTTGAGTACGAGTGGTGGGTCTAATAAGGGTAATAATTTGAGATATTCTATCATGTGTTTCATGATGAGTATTATATAGTTTCAATATTATTTTATTTTACTATTTTAGTGTAAATGGTGAAATAAGATTTTTATACATAGAAAATGAATAAAATAATCTCACGAGATATCTTTATCTATCCTATCCCACCAATCAAATGACCCAGAATCATAACAGTGAAATAAATGATTTCATATAAAAAATGAATAAAACTTTTGAAATATTCTGATCTATCGCATCCCGATCAAACAACCCCTTAAGTCTTCATCATCTTCGAAGAAGTACACAAACAAAATTGAAGTCTAATCTTCAAGTAAGATGTCCCTACATCAATTATAATTCTTCTCTCATAATAGAATGTTCTCCACTTAATACGTTCTATTGTTCTCTTGATTTTTCATTGTCCATCTTTCCCTTTTCCTATATATATATATATATATAGAATTGAAATGGGAAAATGCATAAGTACCCCCCAGCCTATGCCCAAAATCCCTGAGACACACCTAACATTTACTAAGGTCCTATTACCCCCCCGAACTTATTTTTTAGTTAATTGTTTACCACTTTTCGGCTTACGTGGCAATATAAACCAAATAGGTTGAAAACTTTGTTCAACACGCGCCGGGCCCCACTTTTTCAACTTTCTAAAAAGTAACTTTTACACTTCCCAAAATTTTAAAAAAGTATCCTATTATTTATAATCTACTTTGTTAATATATTTTTAGTTAGTTTATAGATTTTAATGTTTATATATTTTATTTCAAATTTGGGCATGTAAAATTTTGTAAATATTATATATATAATTTTATTTTATTTATAGATAAAAAAATTTATTTATAATCTACTTTGTTAATATATTTTTAGTTAGTTTATAGTTTTCAATGTTTATATATTTTATTTTAAATTTGGGCTTGTAAAATTTTGTAAATATTATATATATAATTTTATTTTATTTATAGATAGTTACACTTTTCCAACTTTATCATAATTGTAGGATACTTATAAGACTAGAAGGTACTCTCTAATAGTGCATATAATTATTTTGTTTGTTCAAACATGTTTTTATTTGTATGCAACCTCAATTTTTATATCAATTATGTAGAAACTTTAATAGTGAATAATTTCGATCATTATTATTAATAGAACATAAGAAGAATTATTACTCAAAATCTTTACGTTAATAAAAATATAAATTGTTGTAACTATTATTTATAGATGATTAAAAAAATAAAATAAAAAAATAAAATTGTTGTAATCAACATTCAAGAGTCATCTTCACCATGTAAAGTTAAAACATGAATTTTATAATATTATAATAATACTACAAAGAACAATGAAATATAAAAAATAATTTTGAGTTGGGATTTCATGAAACAAAAAACTTGTGAATTTATATTGATAAAAATGGAGAGATATCATAAAGTATCTTAAATTTTATAATTTAATAGTTGGAGGTTATAAATATGAAAACGTAAAAGTCATGAAAATAATGATATTATTAAGAATAGAAGTTTAATAGATTAAAGTTATGGAGGTGAAACTTAAAAATTAAATAAAGAAGAAAAAACAAAAATAAAGAAGATTAAGAAATAAATCTATATTATATAAATATATAAATTTCTTGAATTGAATAAATAATAAAAAGAAGTAAAATAAAGAACAAAAAAAGGAAAAGACTATAAAATAAATAGATAAAACCCATAAAATTTAACTTTCGTGAATAATTTGTTGGAATTCTTTTTAAATCAAATGAAAAGGTTTGTAATAATTGATGAGAAATTAATAAATATTATAGGAAAAGAGAATAATAACATTCATGACAAAATAAATTAAATATGGCTAATTAAGAAAATATAATTAAATATGATTATCTTTAATGTTATTTAAATTTGTAGGCGATTTTTTTTGTATTTTAAAATTAAAAAAAGGCCAAAAAACCCACAAAAAGAGATAAATAGGATTGAAGCCCTTAGAGAGCGTCACCTCACCGTTTTCATATTCAACTTTATTATTATATATGGATTTAGATTTTTGCACAACCTTAAATTTAAGGACACATTTAGATATTATATCAAACATTCATTTATTTGAAGTTGAAATTACATTTTACATGAAAATTGGATATTCCATATTCACATTGAGTATGAATCTTTTTGTTTTTTTTACAAAATTCAAAATAAAAAAATACAAAACATAAACTTATAGATCAAATTTTACATTTGACATTTGAAAGTTTTACTTTTCATTAAACGTTTTGTTATAGAATTTGGAATCGCCCTTTGAAATTAGTATTTATAAATGAAAATATTGATCTAGTCCTGTTGAAATTGTGTCTGGCCTAGTACTTTTTCTTATTAGAGTGATTATTGAATTAGGTTTAATATCAATTTTCTTAATTAGTTTTGTCAATTGGCAGTGCTAAGAAGATGGGAATTTACGTTATATTAAATTATCTTTACATTAATAAAAAAAGAAATTGTTGTTAGTATTATTTGTAATATAATTAAACAAAAATAACAATGGGAAGAAAATAATAAGTAAAGATTACACGTTGTATTAAAATAATAAGTATTAAAAATTATGATAAATTTTATAATAGTCATAACAGGAATTTACGCAATAATTACTATATTAGAATACTAGAAAAATTGATAAGTTCCTCGACATCTAATCATTGATTAAAATTTAAATTATTATTTTCTTCTGCGAAAGTTTAAGAGATTAAATTAATGTTTTAAAAAATAATATAACAAACTGATTAATTAATTATTTTCAATGATTAATAAGAAAATGTATATAGCAAGTACATGTATTATTATTACATTATTTATATCCACTCTATATTAAATCATTTTTCTATTATAGTTTGACGCAAATTTCAGAATGTAAAGAATGTTTTGGATTCGAAAAATAAATATTCAAAATATACTAACATGTCATTTAATCTTATGATATTTTACATTTCATGTGAAAAAAAATTAAATATTAATTTTTTAATATGAAAAATATTAATTTATTAATACAACATAAAAGTAATAAAGGACAATATATAAAAATATTTGAAGTATTTGATATTTTATTAAATTAAAATAATTCTAAATTAATATATAGCCGCGCAACGCGCGGGTACGTATACTAGTGAAGAACAATAATAAAGAAGAAGACAATTGAATTAATATTTATTTTTTCCAAGTTTAATTTAACACATGACCAATTTTTATTGGTCAGTGCTGTCAAAAAGCTGCACCCACGCGCCTAAAATAGGTGAAATCACGGACTCAGCCACGTAGGCCAAAAAGTGGTAAACAATTAACTAAAAAATAAGTTCAGGGGGGTAATAGGACCTTAGTAAAGGTTAGGTGTGTCTCAGGGATTTTGGGCATAGGCTGGGGGGTACTTATGCATTTTCCCGAATTTAAATATATGACTTAAAATATTTTTGAACCTTCTTTCTCTACACTACAATCTTTTTAATGACAAAGATGCAACATTTCATGTATAACCAAAAAGATTTGGTTTTGCAAGTATTTGTATAGGGATTTAATTAAAACCTCATGACTTCCTTTTAATTCTGAAGAATCTATTCAACACACAATTAGTCGGATCATTAAATTCATGTCACTAGTTTAATAGTGCAATCACGTGTATATATACACAAACTGCATAAAAAAGAAAGACTATGAATTGCACCTTATCACAAAGTTATATGAATCTGAGTTAGCCCACCTGGATAACCAGAAGCTAAGATCTTCAAATTGTACAATGTAATTTTTTATAATTTTTGAAAAAGAGAGAAAATCATATAAGAAAGAATATCATCTAGCTAGCTAGTATTATATTTTATTTCCTAACTTCCTATCCCCTTAAAAAAATAAATAGATGATAAGACTTATTTTAAGCAATGAATTTGGTAGGACTATTTGTTGGCACAAGCACTATGGAATGACCCTTGCCTAACTTGGCACTTGGCAGACAATGGTCTCACAAATCACAATTAATTTGTAAGTTATGATTAGATCAAGAAACAAAGATGGTGAATCCAATTTTTTTCCTTATTTATCTCTTTATTATAATAAATAATTCTTTTGTTCTTTTATTTATTGGATCTATCTATATTTGAATTACTCCACTTTGTTTGGCAAGGGTTTGATGAAAAAGTAAACGCCAAGAAAGAAAAAGAAGGGATGATCACACTTTGTGACCCCATTTCAAAACAAAGCAAAATGAGGGTATAGTAGAAAATGCATCATGTACCAACGGTTATGATGGAGTATCAAATCGCGGCGGATTCAGAATTTTTACTAATGGGTTCGAAAAATAAAAATATAGTGCTTGAAATTTAAACGTAGAATCTCAAGTTGAATTTTGAATCCCTTCAACCACTAAGTCAACCTCTTATACTATGTTTAGGAAGTTCAAAATATGCATAAAAAGTACCTTAAATATATCGTGTAATTTTTTACCAAGGAAGTTCGACTGAATCCTTCGTTATCCCTCTAGATTCATTCTTAATCAACAGTTTCAAATTTGAACTTTGGATATGAAGTCACATTTATTAAGAAACACTTTACTTCTTATATGAAACTTCTCAGCACAAATTCAAATCTAATCAGGACCCCACTACAGATTAAGCATTTAATCTCTGATATAAAACTTTCCATCACAAATTCAAATTTAGTCAGAACTCAATACACGGAGAAACCAACAAGAGTGCACCCTATAATAGATGGTAAAGATAGAAGCAATAAACAAAAAAGTAAAGAAAAGAAAGCTAGCTGTCCACTGCCTTTTGCCTCCTCTCTTTACTTTTCTTTTTAAAAAAAAACTTCACTCTTCCAAACACAATTTCAATACAAAAAAGAACACCAAACATCATTATTCTTATTGTTCATCAAATCTCAAGATTTCAAAAAAATCCAAGTAACTCAAACAAACATTCAACATGAAAGGTATTAGAAAGTGTAAAGAAGCTCCTTCAACAGATTTATTAGTCTGTTTTCCTTCAAGAGCTCATCTAACACTTATGCCAAGTCCAGCCTCTCATCATCACCATTTAAAAAGATCAAACACAAGAGGTATTGGACCTGCTGGCCAAGCTAGTCCTATGTTATGGAAAAGGACTGAGATTTCTGAGCCAACATCACCAAAAGTTACTTGTGCTGGACAAATCAAAGTAAGACACAAGCCGAAAACATGTAAGATCAAGAATTGGCAATCAGTAATGGAAGAGATTGAGAAGTTACATGTTAAGAAGCAGAAAAAGAAAAAACTTGTTTGGAATATGGAAGGAGTTGGATTCAAGAAAGACGCGATGCAGTTGTTGACATGTTTGAGGAATATAAGATTTGATTTTCGATGTTTTGGATCGTTTCACACTGATGAAACAGATGTTATCACTTCTGATGGTGAAGACGAAGATCAGGAAGATGAAGAGGAAAATGATGATGAAGCGAAAACAGCATCAAGAACTGTTTTCTCTAAGTGGTTTATGGTTTTACAAGAAAACCAAAAAACAGAGGAAACAGAGCATGCCAAAAAAACAGAGGAAACAGAGTACTCTGTTTTTGGTCATAATGATGCTCCACCACCTAACGCACTTTTGCTTATGCGTTGTCGTTCTGCTCCAGCAAAAGGTTTGCTGGAGCAGAAACACAAAGACAACGACAATGATGATGCTCAACGAAAGAATGAAAAATCAAGAACGGAGAATAATAATAAGAAGAAAAGCTTAGTAGTGATGAGATATGGGAGTGATTTCTACAAATTTTCATCTGATATATCAAAGGAGAGTTGGGTTATAGGTGGAATTAAAGATCCATTTTCAAGAAGTCGAAGTTCGAAGAGGTAATTAACATTCATGATGATCAAATTTCAAGGTCATTTCTCTTTGGCCAATATTGCAAGATCAATAGTGTTTTCACTTATCTTTCAACGTGTGACTTGAATCTTCAACCTACCAACCACCTATCCTCCAGCATGACTTGAATCTTCAACCTATCGATTAATGATGGAGATGTTCAATCACTAGAGCTAGCTTCTTTGGCTAAATATCCCCACTTTTGTTCTCAATTTTCCTTGAAGTTTCTTCAAATACTCGCATTTAAATTTTTGATGTTTGAATTTATCTTTTTGTAATGTGTACGTAGATGTGTAATTTTGTATAGTACGTTTTCCCCCCCTTATCTCTGGTTGTTTACTCAAACAATATACAATCTTAGGATATATTTTTAATGGAGAAGATTTACAAATGTGCTTTTGTGTTTGGACATTTTGATTTCGTTATATGTATCTTAAGCAGGATTCAGGATTTAAGTAGTTCTATGAATTTAATTCTTTTAACGTTTTCTTATTGAATCTAATATACTTTTAAAGTTATGGATTCATCCTAATAGGAGTGTTTGTTGTAATGTTTGGTATATTTTTCCATGTAATTTATATACTCTACTTTATAAAATAATATTGAATTCAAATGAATCTAATATTATCATAAGTTTTCACGAATATATGACTTAATACGCTAACTTATGTATGGTCTAGCATTTTGAATCATGTTAGGCGATTAATAAGTGTTATATGTGTGGTTTAACACTTTTAAATCATGTTTGACGGTAAATCTCGAATTCGAGATTTTTGTTACCATACCATACTATTAATGTATGCAAATCATCTTATAAGCTTAAGTTATTAGGAGGAATAATGTGTAGCTCTTATGTTAAGTGCAGAAAACCTTCAAAGAGAAAATGCGCTACAAACAATAGTAGGGATACAATGAATGATACATAATTGGTGAAATTTAAAATTGATTATGAAAAACGTTTTATTCCTTGAAATTTAATTTGAAAAAAAAGAAAAGAAAAAGAGAAGGAATTATGACTTTGAAGAAGCTGACAAGATATTTAAACTTCACACTTTTTTTTTCTTTTTCAATTCAAATTAAAGTCACACTATTAGTTTGACGTAAAGAATACGTGAAGTATAATTTCAGAAGAAGAGAATTTTTTTTAAAAACTACTATAATTCAAAGTCTATCACAACATTTATATGACTAGAATTTTTTTAAGGGAAAATTGTATATATAATAGCAAACTATTAATTCAAATTAAATGTTATTAAATGCTATAACCATAATTTGATTTAATTGTACCCCATAGCAAACTGTTGTTATTTTCGCCTCTCTCCATGGTGGAATCTCGCTCGCCACTCTCGTGTTGCGCTGCCAGTCTCGCTCGCCTCTCTCGCTTTTATACAAACACAAATGTATAAAATGCGTTTGTGTTTGTATAAAACGAGAGAAAATTGTATATATACATATATTTTCGTTCCCCTCTCTCCCCTCTTCTAGATCTCGCTCGCCACTCTCACTCGCCTCTCTCACTTTATACAAACACAAATGTAGACATTGCGTTTGTGTTTGTATAAAGCGAGAGAAAATTGTATATACAAGTACAAATGCATATATTTTCATCCTATACACTTATGATTATACAAATACGATCTTTCTCTGCCCAGTTTTCTTTTGTCTTTCTCTTTTTCTCGCTTTATACAAACACATTATACAATTGATTCTTTTGTATATGTATACCGACACAAATTATACAATTGCTTCTTTTGTATACATGTATAGTGAAATAGCCAACTTCTTTTGTATATACGTATAGCGAAATAGACATAGCAAACATAAAGTTTGCTATGAAGCGCAATTATGCAAACTATAGCTATAGCATACAAATATGATTTTTGTGTTTGCTCTATGTGAAAGTTGCTCTTTTTTTTAATCTATTTTAAAGATATAATGGCATTCATATAATTATAAAATTTTGATATCACATAAATATAGTATGATAAAGGGAGAATGATACAACAACATACCTAGTGAAATCTCACTAAGTGTGGTTGAGGAAGGTAGAGCGTACTCGGATCTTACCATTATCTTGTGCGAGTATAGAGACTGTTTTTGAAAGACAATTGACTCAAGTGCATCAATCCAAGTAAAAGAAGAGGGAAAATAATAAAAATTAACTATGTTTTAATCTTGAACAAACTAATTTAACTACTCCCTCTATTTCGATTTATATCTGTTTTTTTACTAGATACGAAGTTTAAGAAAATGAAGGAATTTTTAGACGGAAAAAATAAATCACGCCCAGTGGGACTCGAACCCACAATCGCTTGATTAGAAGTCAAGCGCCTTATCCATTAGGCCATGGGCGCTGTTATTTCATTCACAATAACCAAATTTATTTATTAGGTCTCACTAACATGAATTTTCCATTAATAAGTACACTCTCCTTTTTAATTATTTAGGAGTATCATTATTTTATTAGATACCAAAAAAGAAAAAGAAATGAAAATTAATTTTGAATATGACATGATATTTTGTATAACTATATATATATACCATCAAGAAAAGAATAAAAACTTAAAGTTCAAACTATTTTAAAGTATATTCTTAAATTTTGTGTCCAATCAAATATGAAGTGAATCAAAAAGGAAGAAATTTAGCCTGCGTTTGGCCATAAATTTTCAAAATTTTGGGCAAATATTATTTGAGTGAAATTTCAGCATATGTTTGTATTACATGACACATGACTTTGTTACCCTAAGCCGATTGTTCATAATTTTCATCAACAACCATATCATCACTTTCATAGTCATTGAATATTTCATCACTACTTTGATGTTCACGTAAAAAATTATGTAAAACAACACAAACAAATACTATAGAGGGTGTTCTTCTAAAAGATAAAAATTTGATGTAGAATTTGAATTATTAAAAGTTCTCAAATAATGAGACTTGGCCCAAATACTTGTTTTTTTTCTAGTATTTGAGAATTTGGGTTATTTGTCAAAAATATTTACCAAATAATGACAAATTATATGGACAAATACTATTTTATTAAATTTTTCCTCAAATTTTACTTCAAAAATCTATGGTCAAACGGGTCATTAGCATGATTCAATGTATGTTTGATATTGTCACTCAACAGGAAAGAAAATAATGGTAAAAGGAATGTTTGGTGGTCGTAATTATGACTAATTATTATGTTTCTCTTTATTATCCACATAGTACTGCTGTTTCTACTCCTATATTGGATTGGTAATTAAGGGTAAATTAGTAAAAAACACTAATAATTGATAATTAAGGGTAAATTAGTAAAAAAATACTAATAATTGGTAATGAAGGGTAAATTAGTAAAAAAAATATATTTTATCTATTTTATTTGTTAGCTTTACTTTTTTTTGTCTGTCTAAATAGGAATATATATTTTTTAGCAATTCTTTAATTCTAACATTGTACACAATTAAAAGATAATTTAACACATTTTATATATCTTTATTTTTATGCCATAAAACTAAAAGATATTATTTATTTTCTTAAATATTGTATCAAGTTAAAATAGATACATAAATAAATTAAAATGGAGCGAATACCTCTTATTTATGAGTTTTTAGAGAGGGGTGTGAAAGGGAAATTTGATAATTAATATGAGATGAAGCGAGTTAACATATATATTTTATTTCTATTTACTTTCAATTAATTACTAATAAAAGACAAAATCATTAAAACTCATTTCAAATCCGTTAATTTGTCAAATAGTTCCAAGATTATTGACCAAAAAAGAAGGGTAAAAGTTTTTACCTCCTCCTTTTGAGGTTGCAACCCCGTTCTTATGGTTTAGAAAGCTCCCATTTCGCCCACTGCTATGGGAATCATTTTTGCTTTCTTTTCCTCTAGCTACTAAGATCTTTTAGTTCGCCTGATTTTCTCTTGCAATCATAAACAATTACTTCTTCTGTCCCAATTTATGTGGCACTATTCAAATTTCGAGATTCAAACAAGTCTATTTTTTAATGTAAATTTTTCATATATTTTAAAAATATTTTAAATTCTCAATTATTTTGACTTATGGTGCTTTTTACGTAGTTTACAAATATATAAATTTCATTTTAATAAATTCGAAGATTCCTTATGCAAATTCTTGGTCAAACTTAAATTGTTTGACTCTCGAAAAAATGAAAAGTGCCACATAAATTGAGACAAATGGAGTATATTAGTTATACACTACTGGCGTCTGGCGGATGGTTCTTAAATATTACATTAATTTAGTATAATTCTAATTGGTTATATATATAATAACAACAATAATATATTTAGTGTAATTTTACAAGTGGAGGTCTGAGAAGATTGTGTATCTATGACTTTACCCCTACTTTGTGAAGGTAGAAATGTTGTCTCCAATAGACTGTCGGCTTAAATGAAGCATATCAAAATCAGTAAGAAAAGAAAAATAGTACTAAAAAAATCATACAGAAAATCATGTAGAAAAAACAATTGTAACGACAAAATAGTATGATAAATTAATCAATGAAAACAATAAAGTAATTGTAAACTCAAAGAACATTATAGTAGGAAAGTTACTAGTACTAATATTGATAAGAGATATAAGTAGCACTCAACCAAGGGCATATCTACGTGGAGCATTTCGGGTGCTCGAGCACCCATCGACTCCAACAAATTTTTTCTATATTTATAGAGAAAATATGAAGAAACAGATATAAAATAGGGAAAATTACGCGGTTAAGCAAACTTATACTACTTAATTACTCATCATAGCTATAGTTTGCTATAATTACCACTCACGACTAACATTATACATTAATTACGCGGGCTGACTTTAGAGTTTGTATAATTTGTCACGTTTGTATATGTATAATTCGCCAGAATATACAAATACATATGTATAATATACAATTATCTAACCTATATACATATACAATTCACCTCTCTCCCACTCTCTGCCCTCTCTCGCTCACCTCTCTCCTCCCTCTCCCAATCTCGCTCGCCTC